TCCTTAGTTTAGTATCCGCACATTGTTTTAGTATACATTTTTTAAAACATATATTGTGGCAGTCATAAGGAGCACACACGATTGACTGTAAACACGTCTTTATTCCACGACTGCCAACAAGTGGATCTATTCTGAACATGGACAGAATAGTGTCCGCCATGATATTTATTAAAAGAAAAATAAATAAAAGTCCGCGAGAGAGAAGCCCGACCCGAACCTGTTTTACTTCCGCATTCCTGTCGTTTTGGTCCGCAGCAGAAACTGCACGTGTGACCGCAAGTGGAGCTGCGCCGACTCTGCGCCGGAGCTGTCACGCTCAGCGGCTTTGCACGTGTGACCGCTCCACAAAATTTGCTCCGGTGTAAAATATATCGCAACAAAATATTTCGGTGCAGCGTCGGACCAAATGTGTGCCGTGTGAACAGGGCTTCCTCGGGTGTTCACACGGCAAGATTTGCTCCAGTGCTACACCGGCGCTGCGCCAGTAGAGCGTTCACATGTGCAAATTTGCTCTGGCGTAGCCCCGGAAGACAGCTTACACGGTTGAGAGGAAAGAAATTTCATCTGTGCTGTATGTTGTACATAGAGCATATTTGACAATAAAGTTGACTTGACATGAAATGTTTGCATTCATCATTCAATTATTCATGTAGATTGAGATTTTGTCACTTTTCCACACTTAAAAAAAGAAGTGCTTCACAAAATAGGTACCGGTAATAAAAGACAATAAATTCCTTCCACCCAGCGACAGTCATAAAAACCACACCCTACCCCGCGCCTCAAATCCCATCTGACAAAGCAGTTACCGTATTTTCCGCACTATACGGTGCACCTAAAAGCATTCTATTTTTCAAAAGCCAACAGTGCGCTCTATCATCCGATGTGCCTTATGTATGGTGTTACACAGTCTCTTTATATTCCCCATTGAGTTGTTTCCCTGTTATGCCATCTAGTGGTGATTATTAGCAGGAACTAAAACAGTTCTGCCCGACACTATAATTGACGTGTATTAACCAACACATACTCCAACAGACTACTTTGTGAGCTCTGCGCAGCCATTATGAAACATAGATAATACCAAAAACATAGTTAACTACTCACTAAACGAAGGAAGAAGGAGACAAGCAAGCAAGGTGTGTGTGCCTTTTTGTTGACTCAATTGTCTTCATAACTTTTGTCTTTCATTTATTGTTTTGTAATGCCATTTGTAGTTATATGTTTCATGTCCGCGTTTGTGGCCAGTTCTCATCGTTATGGCTGCAGCAGTTGTGAAGGCTCTATATAAATAAAGCTGTATTGTATTGTATTGTATTCACATTAGCGTAGCTCTATCTAGTGGATGCATCGGCCACTATTGTAGCGTCTATTCTATGGGCCTTATAAATGCAGTGTGCCCTATATATGAAAACCGTTTTAAAATAGGCCATTCATTGAAGGTGCACTTTATAATCCAAAGCGCTTTATAGTGCAGAAAATACGGTATAGTGCAAAAAACTTTCACATGGCTGATTAGGAATGGATGAGGACAAAGTGGAGCAATATGCAAATCTGCTGTCTGTTACCTTCTTCAGGATGATGTCGATGTAACCAGCAATAAGCTGAGCTATTTGCTCTCCCTCGGTGGTCTGCACTGAGTAGTAGCCATCCTGATAATCTCCAAAATCCTGAAAGTCGATCAAATAGCGTCATTCATTTCAAGATTATGGCAGAACGTGCTCCCTCGCACTGTAGAGATTAGTCGTGTGAATTTGTATAGTGCCAATTCATAACAGACATCTCAAGGCACTTGACACATAGAATGAAGAAAACCAACGAAAAACGCATTGCAAACCCCCCACCAAAAAAAAAAAAAAAAAAACCAACAACTCCACAGCCCCACTGACTCAACAAGTTCAAAGAGATAATTAAACACACAAGGTAAAATATTGACAATGTCATAAAAATAGCTCCATTTCATTGAGGTAAAAAGAGGGATGACAATGATATCGAAATGAGTTTCATGAGTGAGCGCTTCACTGCTATGAATGATAAAACTGGCAGCCAATGGGAAAAAAAAAAATCAAAGAAAGCTTTCTTGAGAAAAAAAAAAACTTTTGATGATATGGGATGGGATGAGATTTTTGTACAAATCAAACGAGTCAATGAATGCAGTTCTAAAAAAGAAATGGACCGGTAAATATGATACAGTTTTGATTCTAATAACGACAGTAAACTTTATATGATTTCAACTTATTTAATTATTTCAAGACTTTACTTGCCGGGCATTTTAGCTTGCGTCATGCCGTGACTCGACACAGCAAGGTTACTAGGGTAAGTGTAAAAGTGTAACTGCTCAAAACCATTCTGTCATCTTATTGAGCAGGGCACAATGCCATTGCGTGCTAACCTGACCAGTTAATGTCAAACCCCAATCAAGCTGTTATCATGTGGCTTGTCTTTGGAGAAGAAACTGACCAGAGTGAAACTCTTGGGTGAAGCAGCCCAACGTTTGATATTGGTCAGGTTCCACTCCTGGATCACCTCCTTTGTTTTCTCATCCACCCTCATCACGCTCTCTTTGGTGATGCCCAGGAGACGTGGCACCAATTTGTTCTTGCCCTTCATCTTCTCCTACAGGATATTTCGTGTTAATAAATGTAGGGGACAATATCAGTCAGTTCGGATATCCCATGAATTGACAAGTGTTCTTACCTTGACCAAAAAAAAGGACACGCCGTAGGTTTTAAGAGACCTGGCTTGCTTCACATAGCTGACTTTGGCCTCGATCTCGGTCATGTTTTGGCAGTTTTTGTGTGCCTGGGTAAACGACAGACCAAAAAAAAAGCATTAAAGTGCTGCATTAGCTATTGAACTACAAAGAATTCTTTTGACCCCACTTAGAAGTGGGGAAAGAAACATTTGAAATTTACCTGAAAAAAGTCAAAGGTGTAAAAATAAAGTTTTAATCTGACGACAAGAAAATGTAAATCGTCCAGTAAGACTAAATTTTGTTACCACATGAACTTGAATGAAAACAGCAACCTTTACCGAAAGACAACTATTTTACATAACAACAATGTCACTCAATATTACCAAACCAAATAACAATCTCGACTCAATTTGCTCAATTAAATTGAATTGATTTCTGCTTGACGACCGAATCTGTTGGATATTGCCTTCTTACCTGGAAGATCTTTTTCTCTCCTTTGTGTTTGATGTACTCTTTGGGAAGAAACTCTTTTAAACTGCAATGCAAAAAGATCAACATGAATTGAAATGAAATGAAACAGTGTTTAATGTCGGATAACACTTACTCTAAGAATCCAGGCTTGTGTTTCGACTCGTTGTGGTCACCAAACTGGATCTGACACTGATAACCGGCAAACTCACAAGCCTTGTCAAAGGAGACTGGATGAGACCCATTTAGAATGTCATCACGAGCCTGTTTACAGCAACACAGACGTGGGCACATACATTAAGTTGACCTTTTAGTCAAAATCAAGTGAATGCATATGTAGGCACTTTGTTATTGTATCCTGAGAGCTTTGTGTGCACTATTTTCTATTGTCATAATTGCAAGATTTTATATTCATCTAGCTTCAAAATGGCAAGAAATTAATTTCCTTGTGTTGTAGACGATAATAATCAGGGCTGTGCATGAATCAGTGGGGATTCAAATTGGGATTCGAGTATGAGATGCGTGTCGAGTTATGCGGGGAGTGCGCATGAGTGGTGTGCACATGTATGGGAATAGCTAGCCAGCTAATAAGCATTAAATAAAGTACTAAATAGGATGGTCAACAAAACCTCTCTGAGACAGTGTATCAACACTTCTGTTATTAGTTTGCAACCAACCTTTTACTCATTCCGTCACACACGGCAACACGCAGACGGCGTTAGCTAACTTCAGCCCAGGAGAGACCGCCTCTCCAGCTAGCTATCTAGCTTAGTTATAGGATGCAGCTGGTCCATGGCAATGACGATTTATGACGACACGAATAGGCAAAATAATTGCCCCAAATTCTACCTTTGGCCACCAGGGTGCACGAGTTCCTAGTTAAAAGTAAGTCATTTTAAACTCAAAAGAATAACTTTTCCGGAATGTACAGAGTACGCTGGTGGCTGCCACGTCTCTGCACTCTCCCGTTCAATAGATACAGTATGCCTTCAAATAAGTGGATGTCAGGCTTCGGAAAGCGCTTTGGGCACTGTATGGAATAGACAAAGTACAATGCATCAACATGCCATTTACATAAAATTGGATTTCTCATTTTTCGGACTAGATATGCTTTTTTTCTTTTATGAAAACTGCAATGAGTACCCACTTGAATACATTTGGAATACGGAATTGGGATTTTGGCTGTGAGTCCGAGCCCAAATATTAATAAACTTGGCTTAAAGAACAAAAGGAGAGTCATGTAAATCATAGGATCTAACAAGTAGGCTGACCTACCCATTTATTACAACATTTATGCAAATGGCGAGCAAGGATTTTTGTATGGCAACTCTTCAACTGTGAAGGCAAAAGTGGGATTCATGTACCTGTACATAGAGAAGGTTGAGCTGTACGGGGTCTCTGGAGTCAACGTTCTGATCTGAATAGAAGAACTTCCTCCTCAGCAACAACATTTCTGTCTCTTCAACACCTTGTTCTCTCAAAGTCCGCCCATGGTCCAACCAGTTTACTGTGGAACACAACTTCAGTCGAAGCTAACCTTTTCAACGTCACCACAATGCAAGTCATGTAAAATGATAGTAAATGAGTCATGTTTATCCATTACCGGTATATTCAATATTACCCGACACTTCAAGACTGAAATCGTCATAATATCAAGATGAAAGCAGATCAATGTCATACATTCATCATCTGTATGGAGCTTCTGCTTTAATTTCTCCATCTTCTTGTCATCTCGGAGCAGTGTTTTGTCTCTTTTAAGAGTGCCTGTGGTCTCCTCCTTCTTCTCCTCACCAATGTCTCGCACCAGGGAGTACTCGTCATAATTTGTAATGCCTAAAATCACAAAAGTTACAGCTTAATGAGAATTTTCAGAACTCAAGGCTGTTATTTCAAGTGTGAATTGTGTAAGACATTTGACCTATTCTGGCACAGATGGTCATGAGCATGTCGCTGACGATCTTGGAATCATCCACCATGACAGTCTTTACAGTGCCATCCAGCATACGAATCTTCAGAGGCCTCTGCTTCTTTTTGTACTCCAGAGTGTCCTGAGAGACAAAATAATGTTAAAATGGATGTGAACACTTCTGATCCTAGCGACTACAATTTACTTCAAAAGTAGCAATATTTAACAGATTCTCAAATTCAGAACGAGTGAAAAGCTCAAGTAAAATCGACCAGATTTAAGGTCTACAAAACCCGACCTGAGTGTCAATGTTTGCCTTTTTTTGTTATACAGTATGTCTAAATTAGAGACAGCAGGGCAATCCCAAAAGACTATAAGGACTTTTCTATCTCTAGAGTTGTTATTTATTCTTATTTTTTCATGCGCACGCTTGTAACTCAAAACAGTTGGATCATAAACCATCTTTCCTCACTGAAATGAAGTGAAATACAATAAAGGTATTTCAGCCGGACCATCCACCCACCAAATATTTGTTTTTGTTTTTTAAGAAGGAAAATTACCCTTCTTTCATATTGGACTTTATCAAAATATGGAGGAGTCATTTTACTTTCGTCGAAGCCCCTTCTAGTCAGGGGTCTGTCTCAATACTGAGTTACTCGCATGATACATTTGGCACAGTTTTTATGCCAGATGCCCTTCCTGACGCAACACACGTCCATAACGGGTCTTGCCGAGGGACCCAACTATCCGCCCTGACTGGGATTTGATCCCCAGTCATTGGTGTCCGAAGTCAGGAGTGCGACCAGCTGAGCCCTCCAGCCACTCTTATCAAAACATGGCGTGATAGAATAGACATATTTAAAATATTTTTGCATTATTCTCATTATGGTTCTACACGTGATGTGCCCATCTTGGCCTCCGGGAGGCAGTACTGTAATAATACAGTCAAAGAGGCAAACAAGAATAGACTTGTTCTATTACTACCGTGACTCAGAAAATTGCTGTAATATTAGTTATTTTGTTCCACCAAATATGTTCAAATATCCATTGCTTAAAGCGTTGTAAAAGTACAACTGCCAATACCAACCAGTGGCATTTTTCATTGTAGTGTAGCATTAAGCTAGCAGTGACTATCTTAAGGCAAGGTTGTTTGGGTGTTTTAAATAAGATGGAATTCTCTTCAATTTATGTTTAGTTTAAGTAAATTTAAATTGGGAGTGGCATTCAACAGGCTGAAACCTCTTTTTGTGATTAATTATTCATTATTTGCCAAATTGCTCTGTATTGTGAAGTGATCGTAATTGAATTTATTGCCACCATACAGTGCTCGTATCTCACTCGCAAGTCGAAGCGAAAAATTGGCCGAGTGACAACTTGCATCTCAAAAAAACCTCTCAGTGAAGTCACTCCTATCTCAAGACACCACTGTATCAATTAATTAATGAAGTGATCATTCATTTCCCCTTGAGTTGATCATGGATATTTTGTCAAATGTGTTACTAGTTTTATTTTCATTGTAGTGTTTGATCCCAACACATCCAAACGTTTTTTTTTTTAATTCAATTAAAACATATTGCTAAGCATTCCTAAAATAAAGATCCAGGGATTTATGTTTATTTGAGATAACTGTCCATTTAGCTGAAAATGTCCCTATAATTTTTTGAGTGCCCATAAAGTAGACCAATGAAGTTTGCGCTGTCTGTCTTCCTTTTTAGGAGTGACTCACCCCATTCCTCAACATGTAGTAGTCTAGGGCTTTTCCAGCCTCCAGCCAAATGCCTTTTTTGGGGTCTTCATCAGAGAGAAATAGTCCATAGTCATTGGCTGCAAAAAAACAAAACAAAACAAAAAAACAACAACGCTGATTAATTGCTTCAATGGTGTTTCTTTGTTTGAATTTACTCCTTTCAATGTCTGTGAATTGTATGTGGATGATCGAAACATGTGCTCCATGTAGGATTGGTGATTGATACATGAACTCCAGACAAGATCAACAGTTCAAGAAAGCAAATTCAGATATGTAAGTATTTGTATTTCTCACTGGAAAACAAGAAGCGAGTGAGGTCACACAATGGTGAGCCCTGCTGTTTATGTAACAATAAATAGCACAGTGTGCACACCAGCTGATACATCTTTGAACCGAAAGGCTAATTGTGGTTCATGACAACATTTAACCAGCTTCTCGAGTCCTGGGGGTTCAGCTTTTGCTGTTATCCCACCTGGACTATTGTTCTGCTGTGTGTGCCGGGACAAAAAAAAAACCCCACAAAAAACCATCTGATTAAACAACAGACTGCACAGAACAAAGCTGCCAACAGTGGCACTGGACGCGGACTCAGATGCTCTTCACCCGCGCCTGTTGTGAGTAGAAGACAGACTTAAGTGTGTGGGTTTTTTTGTTGTTGTATTTTTGTTTTAGAAATGTATGCTACGGTAAACAACATACTGGAGTTCATGCTCTTTCACATTATGTGAGAGAGCAGCACAGGTATTCCCCCAGAAAAGCCATTCATGGTCATATGGCCCATCTCAGACCAAAGACTGATGCAGTTTGTAGATCTGTGTTGTTTAGAGCTATAACTATTCGGAATAATCTGTCGCCTGCTGTTACAGAAGCTTCTACGAGAGCCAATTTGAAGAAACTGCTGATCAAGGCTATGCTCTCTAAGTCGTAGTTCACGGCCAGGAGCATGGTGATATTTTATTCTGTTGAAAATATGTACTACGTGGACCACAATCTGTACGTTTGTGTTGTAGAATTACTGGAATGTAATTTTGTTATGTGTGCGAATTAAAAAAGGGACTCAGGAAGAGTACCGTAGTTGTCATGCGGTGACAGCTAATACGAACTAATAAACAAAACTGTCAAATGCTATTCTGCCAAGTCTGTAATGAAGCACCAAAAGGCCTGATTTGCTCGCCTAATTTTGTTTCTTTACAGGTAGGTAGAGTGGACCTCCCATATTTGCGGTCTACAGGGAGCGGCCCACCAATCGCGAAAATCCATGCATAGTTGATAAATGCATTCGGAAAAAACAAAAAAACAACAACAACAAATCATAAGGGAAGATTAAAAATAGGGTTACCTCCCAAAAATGTATTTATACATTTAAGAAATAATGAGCAAAAGTGTGCGGATATTTAAAACCACGGGGGCCGAACCTGATGTGTGCAGAGGTCCACTGTACTAGTTGAGCATTTCACGTATGGGATATGTTAGTCTCATGGTCACAATAAATAAGTAAATGCAGTATTCAAGTAAATTATCTGGAGTCAAAGCCCCAAGTATAGGTCTGTGTCCTGTGATTGTAATATTGAACGGAACATACTCTGGAATGTGCCAGCTTGCAATGCAATGTCAACAGATAACATAGTCACGCTAAAAATACTTGCCATAGTAACTTCCTTCTATGGGCAATAATGAAATAAAGGGTCAAAAATACACATAAATGCCCTATAATAACAAGGGCAAGAAACTAATTGCGGTTTATCAACAAAAAGATCACAAACATTGGAGACTGCTAATTGTGCCCGCTGTAGGGTGTGGCTTCCCATTGATTGTGATCTTGGAATTGAAGGAAAAAAAAAAATTGACTTCACATTCTTGCACATTGGCAATTGATGTTTTTGACATTGATGAAATTGGGGCGAAGTATATGTAAAGGCCTGCAAGCGAACTGCAGACTGGTCATCACTATTCGTGGGTTCTCTGTAATCACTGCCCCCGTGTGAATATGTGTGAGCGTGTGTCCGTGTGTGGGCAAACGCAAGGAGGCGGAAAACTTACGCTGTCCAAGTTGCGCCTCCGTAACTCGCTCCCTGATGATGCGGCAGGCATCGTACACCATGGTGGAGGGCTCAAACTGCATGGTCTTGACCACATTGCCCACACCGATCTTTAATGACAAGGCCACCATGATGTCGGTTCTTCACGGCCACCCAACTCACACCTACAGGAAAACAAAAATTCACACAAACAAAGCGGAATTATTTAAAGAAATTTGGACTTGCCCTTTTGAAAACCTTAAATGACATTCCAATTTCCAATGTATTGTGTTTAAGAACAAATCATACCAGTATACAAAATAATATAACATATCTTGCAGTTACAATTATCGTAATTTCCGCACCTAAAAGCATTCAATTTTCGTAAAAGCCGGCAGTGCACCTTATAAGCCAATGTGGCTTCTATATGGATCAATAATTCTGATTTTCTGGACGTAGTATTTCAAATGTTCTGTAAAGTGCTTTGTTACAGCTGCAGCGGTTGTAAAAGCAGTATATTAATAAAGCTGTATTGTATTGTATTGTATTGAATGTTAGAGATGGAGCTACCAGGTAGGTAACAGAGAGGAAGGCCAAAGAGGAGATTCATGGATGCCGTGAGGGAAGACATGCAGGTAGTTGGAGTCAGAGTAGAGGATGCAGAGAACAGGGAAAGATGGAAATTAATGACTCGCTGTGGCAACCCCCGAAAAGGGACAAGCCGAAAGGAGAAGAAGAGTATTGTATTGTATTATTTAGCATAGCTCTATCTAGTGGATGCATAACGCAACCTCGGCCACTAATGTAACTTCTATTCTTTGTGCCTTATAATGCGCTGCGCACTACATATAAAAACAGTAAAATAGGCCATTCATTGAAGGTGCGCCTTATAATCCGAAGCGCCTTATAGTGCGGAAAATTTGGCAAATGTGAATAAATTTCTTTATCACTTTAACATTTGTTCCAGCGTGATCCACCACAATGAAACATCTATAGTCACATTTGGAGTAGCAGAATGATCTTTGATGTGTACTCATACTATTACATAATATTTAACTCATTCAATCCCAGCCATTTTCACTGGAGCAACCCCCTCAATCCCAGCGTTTTACTGGATTTTGACTGATCTTGCAAGGACCACAGAATATTTGGTTCTAATGCTATATAAACATGGAGCTGACCAAAATAAGGTTTGGGCTCTCTTCTTTCAGCAGAAAAAAAAAATTGTTTCTATCTTTTTCCATTCTTCAGCAATCAGCATTACAAAATGGCTAAGTTTCATGGAAATGGCGATTCCTGGGCAAAAAAACGGAGAAAAAGAGCTTTTTGTAAAATCATGCATTTCAATCACGTGAGGCACCACTGCCACCTGCTCGTCGTTTTTTTAGATGATTTACAATGCAAACGGCTTTTTCTCATTCACAGATTGCATCAGACCCTCCTCCTCTCTATGAGCAAAAAAAAAAAAGACTTAAGCCCTGTTCACACGGCACACATTTGGTCCGACGCTGCACCGAAATATTTTGTTGCGATGTATTTTACACCGGAGCAAATTTTGTGGAGCGGTCACACGTGCAAAGCCGCTGAGCGTGACAACTCCGGCGCAGCGTCGAAGCAGCTCCACTTGCGGTCACACGTGCAATTTCTGCTCCGGACCAAAACGACAGGAATGCGGAAGTAAAACAGGTTCGGGTCG